TTTGAAAACGTTTGTGAGATTATTTCGGATTAAGGCAAGCAAAAGCCTTGAAAAAACTTTGCCAGAGCTATTTACAAAGCAGAAAAATGGAGAAAAGGAGAACAAAAGAGCTCTTTACAACTGAAGAATGCTTAATCTACAAGAAATCTTCACAACAGTTGCCATCGCCACAAGAGACTCGCTGTTTTGCTATGTTTTTGCCATTATTCTGCTTTGAGCAAGAAAAGACATTGAAAAACTTTTCGAAGAACCTGTATACAAGTAAGATAAAGAAAAAAAGAAGAAGCAGAGACGAAATATAGCGTTTGGGACTTTAAAAAATGCCTAAACTAGTACAGATCTTCGAACAGTCAAGCGGTATGAGGCAGGTATGTGTATCGGTCTTTTTTCTTTTCTGATCATTGCATAAAACAAATAGAATAGACTCCATGTTGCCATGGGCCTGTTCAGAAATAGATCACAGATGAGGTCAAAATGCGATAAAAACATTAGTGACATACTCGTCTGCGGCTCGTGTGCCACTTCTTTGTTTTTACCACATTTTGACCTAATCTGTGATCTATTACTAAACAGACACACGGCAACATGGAATCTATTTGTTAAGTAGTTTTCTTTTTCATGAACGAACACAACAACACAAACACGAAACCTCAAACTAAAAAGCAATGATTTTTAAAGTTATCCCAGAAGAGAAACAGCAGCTAGTGGATGAAAAAGATGCAGATAATATATGGAAAGTACTTTGTAAATCATTCATTCAGTGGTTTTGAGAATTATATTTGTTTTGAGGTGTTGTTATAAGTACCGAGTCAATTGTTTTCATTTGTCCGTCTTTTGTTGCTGATGAAGTAAAAGTCTAGAAATGTAACAAAACACTTAAATGTCAGGTCCCTCAGGAAACCAGTAAGTTTTGTTTTCCCTCGGGATCTAACATTAAGTGTATATTATTTTTACTTTCCTTTTTTTTCTTCATTAATTGTAATATAACTCTGAAAACCCCTTGGGGAGAGTTAATAAAACTACTGTACTGTACTTCATGAACATCGATGAAATGATCCAAGAGAACATGATCATGAAAAGCTGGGACAGAAGGCTCAGACGGAAGTTTTTAGAGTAAACCAAAGCCTCTTTAGCAGACCTGTAGGACATTGCAAGAGCTCATGAAGCTATGGATGATTGACTTAAGTCTATGAATAAACCCACTGGTAAAAAACATGGATCATATGATCTCAGTTAACCTGCACAAGTTCCAGAACAAAGGAAGAAGACATATTCACATAGTGGAGAAAGCGAGGAAAAAAACGGTAAGATGCAAGAGCCTGGTCCAAATCATTCTAGAAATTACAACTACAATCGTTTTGGCCATTTTGCAAGAGATTCATGTTGCCTAGCTAGGAATAACAATTGTGAAGAGTAGAGCCTATTGGCACTTTGCAGCTTGTTGTGATAAAAAAAAAACAAGAAGCCATCACCTAATAGCAAGGAAGGAATCAATCCAGCAAACAACTGGAAAGCTTACCAGGTAGCCAAGAAGCCACTTGGAGAAATCATACTCAGCATTGGAGGAGTACAGTAAGATGGCGTATTGATAGATTCAGGGCCGTCCTGTAACCTGGCGGACTGCAACACATGGAACAATTTAAAACATAGCTATCTACATGACAGGAAAGATTGCGTGAATTTAGGAAGTCATGTAACACATGCAGAACGGTCAGCTGCGGTTGTCCCCAGGGCTCCACCCTAGGCCTGTTGCTGTGGAATATCTTTCAGAGCGATCTGTCTTGCTGCGTAGTGAGAAACTTATCAATGTATGCAAACGACCACCAAATATATGACGTTAGATCTGATTAATCTAGTGTTTCATCCAAGCCTAGGGTGGCATGACTCCAATCTTCTTGCTGGAAACCTCGAGAAATACCAAACTATGAACATTGGGTACAGTCAGGCTATCAACAGTGTGGCACATGCAATTCATGTGAACAATGAGGAAATAAAAAATGTAGAAAATCTCAGACTCTTAGGTGTTACAATAGATTCCAAATTTACCTTTACTGATCACATTAGCACAATTTGTGAGAAAGCTAGTCAAAGAATTGGCGTCCTCGTGCGACTTAGGAACTTAATTCCAAGGGAGGCCAAGTTAGCATTATTCAAATCAGCAGGTTTACTGTACCTTTCGTATTGCCATTTGGTCTCGCATTTTTGTAGATCTTGTGATGTGCAAAAACTGGAAAGACTGCAAAAAAAGGGAATGAGGACAGTATAGAGAGATAAGCATGTAAGTTATCCCCAACTTCTAAGAGGCTAGAATTACCAACGCTGTTGAACAGCACCTGCAGGATATTTGCATCCTCATGTACAAAGTGAAGCACAAACCATGTCCAATTTATATCTGTAATCTTTTCAATAATCACCATTCTTCTTAATCTTAATGACAATCGGATTCCTCTATTCCTCAATATAATACTGTAACATATGGTAAGCATTCTTTACGGTATCTTGGGCCTAAGTTGTGGGAAAAATTATCTCCTGATTTTGGACAGCAAAAAAGTTGAATATTTCTAAAAGCAGCAACAGACTCTACAACTCCAGATCCGACAGACGACAATGACTGCTAGTACAAGAGTGAGGATATTGTTCAACCGTGGAAGTCAGCGATCATATGCAACCAATAATCTTCAGGCAAGGCTTGGTCTGAAGTCCACCAAAACAGAAACCCTTCATCTCAATATGTTTGGAGAGACGAGTTTTCAAAAGCAAAAATGCGAAGTTCTCACCTTGTTCCTTGGCGACCTAAATGACGAAACGTCAAGTAGTTTCTCAAGACTTTTAACGTATGTCAAAGACAATCAAGACAAGATCAGTTACACTGTCCCCAACTTACCTGATTGACAGGCGCAGAATCATTGGTAGCCGAATGAAGGACATTTTATCAACTCACGACCTTTAACTACGTCAAAGACGATCAAATTGAGATCAATTACACTTTGTCCCTAACTCTCCTGATTAACAGCCACAGAATCATTGGTACCTGAATGGATGACATTTCGAAATTGTCAGCACCAACACATCATTGTCAAAGAGAATCAAGCACCATCAACATCTACAACAGTTTACCAATAAATGGAGGAACGCCTATTTACTGAGTATTGGAGAGAGACAAGTGTCAGTGCATAACAAGCACAGAACAAAGACAATTGAGTTTGAAGGTCAAGAGACCAGAAAGACCCATCAAGCTAAAGATGAGAACGTCTGGCTAGCAGCAGAAGCAGGAAACCTTGATTATGACTGATGATCCTGAGTCTTTATCCAATCGATTGCATGATTTTGATGAAGATCATTGGAATGAATCCCACTGTCTACTGCTGATACATCTATGGTTGCCCAACCGTTGCCAGGATTTATACAAAATGTTAAAAACAACTCAATTTACATTGTCAAATGGTGCTGGTCTGCTAACACGTGCGTTAGCCTATCAAGTTTGTGTGATCCTTTATTTCCCTTTGATTTCTTTACTGCTGTTTATTGTCTTTTTCTCTATAGAAAAAAAAAACATAGTTACATCCACAACGTTATCCCTGTGAAGACCAGTAAACGAATTCAACACCCATGATACGACTTCCAGCTACAAGCAGCTGAAAAAATGTCGGCAGGGTCGTCAGCTTTAATTCCTCCTTCCACACTCATATGCAACATTATGAACAATCAAAAACTCCCGTTCTTCTGAAGAATGTCATTGTACATCTCGTGCAGGTGATTGGCTGGTTAACCACCAATCAACAGCATATCTGTGTTCAAATTCCGTTGTCACCTTCGAGTGCCAAGTTACACCCAAACCTGAGCCAACAACCCCATAGCTGCCAACTACGGACGTTACTATTAAACAGCTCTTGGCCATTACAACAAACCAGAAAGATGATGTTTCTAGGACATTGTCCTTTGGGGACAAAGAACCAAATCAAGTTATGGTAACAACTTCTCACGTTAAAGAAAACTGTATATTGGAGGAAAGTACTGGAACAGTCACTTGGCACATTATGGGACCCTCTCATAAATCAAGTGAAAACTGTCAAGTCGTATATGTTTACCAGTTTAAATGTGAAATACTACTAAGGTTCAACCTTCTTAAGTTCAAGTCCACTAACTACTGCTACTGAAACCATAGTATCATAAGAAACAATTAATGGGTCCAGACTCCAGAGTCAGAGATAACTGTTACAAAGTTAAAGTTCTTCAACAGATTATTCATATTTAGTTCTTGCAGCAGGATCCTCTCATAAATCAGGCCAAAAACTGTCAAGTCGTATATGTTTACCAATTTAAATGTGAAATACTATCAAGGTTCAACCTTATTAAGTTCAAGTCCACTAACTAATGCTACTTAAACCATAGTATCATTAGAAACAATAAATGGGTCCAGACTCCAGGGCCAGAGATATGTTACAAAGTTAAAGTTTATCAACAGATTAACCATACATGTGACCCTCCACAGGATTTTAGCCACTTTGGTGATGACACGTGCAGTATACGTTCAAACAGTAAGACAAAAGAAGCAGGAGTTAACACGAAACAATTACCGTGTTAGGATTTTGCTTATTACAAATTTCCTTTGTTTTAGAAAAGGGAAACGCAACTGAAGAAAGGGAACTAAGTGAGAGATTCCTCAAAAACCTTTCAAACCATCAGCTTACTGACACCAAAGTTAACTTGCTATCATGGGGACTTAAATTTGTCACTACAGCCGTGACAAACACAACAAACATTACGCGACAACTCTTGCAAGATTTTGAACTTTTCCCGTGACAAATGTCCCTCCCATACATCTTTCACGGGCAAAATAAAGAACAAAGCCTAAACAAAACTTGTCATGCAATGAGATGGCTGCTTTCAAACGAGTTAAAAAACAACTCTGCCCAGTCTGAGACTGGGAAGCAATGGCGGTGTGAAGACATGTTAAAAGACCGTCCGCCTAACACTACTCTTTTGCTGTGGATGACTTAATGGAAGAATATTTTAAGTTATTGCTAAGTAAAAGAAGAACAAGACAGCTACCCTCCGATAGTTTTCTAGATACCTCGCCAGAACAAAAGAAACGTAAAGAGTGTGATAGTTCTAACTCTTCCGAAGGCGAACGCGAAGAAGAAGGTGACGATATTATTCTATCTGCTCTGAATATGGCTGAAGGCCTTCAAAAACCACTGCAAGATATTCTTAAGAAGCTTGAAAAGCTGGATGCCATCCAAGAAGCAGTCAATAACCTCGGGAGGTCCTTCGGGAAGTTAGAAGGAAGAATACATACTCTCGAAGATGCGTATGCTACCACCAAGCGTGATGTTGAAGATCTTAAAGAAAGTTTAAATGCAAACGAAACATAAAAAGACGACAGCTGAGAGAATACAAAAGCTCGAAGACAACACAAAATCGAGCCTAGCAGCCCTACAGAAAGAGAATGATGAGCTCCGTGCCAATTTAAAACTGATCGAGGATAAGAACGTATATCTGGAAGCATACTCTAGGCGTGAAAACATTAATTTTAAAAACATTCCAGAAGAAGAAACAAACAAAGAGGACATGGAGATGGCTTTGTGCACCTTCCTGGAAACGGAATTGGGTTTTGGCGACGCTGCCAATGTTGAAATACAGCGAGTTCATCATCTAGGAAAAAAGAGAGGAGAAAGCCCCAGACCCATACTTGCTAGATTCCTACGATATAAGGACTGTGAAAAGATTCTTTCGCTGGGACATCGTCTACGAGGAAATAACTACAAAATGTGCCAAGATCTTCCGTTTGAGATCGTCAAACGTAGGAGAGCGCAGATGGAAACCTTAAAAAAGGCAAGACGCAACAACATTCCCGCAGTCTTCAGTAAAGCCCAGTCTGACAAACTGTTCATAAGAGGAAAATTGTGGCCTTTTGGAATGCCATTAGAACTGTGAGTTTAATAACACAAGTCTTAAACATTCAAGCTTTAACTTTTAGTATTTTTTCTTCAACAAATTATGTCCATTATTTCACCTGAAGATTTTTGTTTTTACTCGAAATTACGATAGGTGGACAGGACGGAAAACACGCTTCTGTTCGGAATACATCTCTTTTCTTAAACTTTGCTTGCTTCTCAACTCTCGAAACTAAGCAAGCTAGTTTTCCACAAAAATGCCGCGCTCAGTCAGTGATCTTTTTTATTTCTTTTGGTGTGTACATTTACATGTATGTTTTCTTATTTTTTTTTGTTTTTGTAGCGTATGTGATCCGTATTGTAAGAAGTGCAAGCAGCTGTTTTTGTTTTGTATATATGTAAAGCGTGAATCATAGCACTGTTAGTAGCGTAAGTATCTCATTGTAAGTAAGTATTGCAAGTTTTGTATTGTAAGTAGAGTATAGTATTGTTAGTAGCGTATCTCACATTGTAAATAAGTATTGTTTTGTAAGTAGAGTATAGTTTTGTTAGTAGCGTAAGTACCATACATTGTTTGTAAGTATTGTAAGTACTTTGTAATTGAAAGTGTTTTAATTACATTAAATAAAAAAGGGAAAACAACAACAACAACAACAACACCTCTGCCATAAACCTCTACAAAGTAGGCAAAGGAACAACAACGATCAGCATGAACAAAACAGACAAAATACATGAGGCTGAGGTTGCAGCTTGAAAACAGAGAGCACTATTAGCCCCTCGAAGCACCAATGGTGAAAACCACGCAACCAAAGGTCAATAATATCATTGACAAATTACATTGAGACAAACACATTGATGACATGACGAGAAAATGGCTTTCACAAACCTCCAGTCCACCTAGAATACCCATTTTCTATGCAATTACAAAAATCCACAAACCAAAACAGGTCAGTAGACCGATAATATCAGATTGTGACAGCCCAACTGAATGAATATCCTCATTTGTAGATACTTTGCTCCAGCCTATCACACAAAAACAACAATCCTGCATTAAGGATTATCTACTGATTTTATAATTTTATAGAAAAAACAAAGATAAGCCAGGATGCAGTTAAGTATCAATAGATGTTACTAGCTTACACACAAACATACCACAAGAAGAGGGAATGCAAACAGTATGCAAAGCATATGAGCCAGTTGTTTCATAACAATGACCCTCCGATCCCCACACACTACTTAAGGGGAATGCTTGGCCTAGTCCTAACAGAAAACTCATTTGAGTTCAATGGAAAGAATTATCTCCAAACCCATGGGGTTACAACTGGCACAAAAACAGCAGTGTCTTTTGCAAATATCTACATGGTGGAGATTGAAACAAACCTAATCCAACAAAGCGACACCAAGCCAAGAGAATGAAAGCATAACATCGATGACATTTTCTCCCTTTGGGACTGTAACAGAAAAGACGTGAACTTTTTATTAAAGAAGCTAACAACTTCCATCCTACAATAAAGTTCACAGCCGAAATATCAGAGAACTAAATAACTTTCCTTGATACAATAGTTTTCAAAGGAGAGCGATGCACAGAGAAATCCATCTTGGACATCAAAACCTGCTATAACCTGACTGAAACCTTTCAATATACACACTTTACCTTTGCCACCCTCTGGGGGTAAAAAGAGGCTTCATTAAAGGCAGGGCAATAAGATTACTTAGAACAAACTCTTCAAAAACAACATTTGATGAGTGCCTTGCGAACTTTAAACAATGCCTCAAAGCAGGTGGGTATCCTAAACAAGATATAGAAAGATCATTGTCAGAGGTCCACGTTGACCAAACACAATCGGTGCTAAAACAAAGGCAAAAAAGTAAAGAGAGACCATTCCCAGACAAAAACAAAAACAAAAACAACATTGGGAGTCTGTGCAGGTCTGTCTTTGACTTCTTTTCGCAGGCTCAAGTCTTGACCCATCAAGGTCGAGTATTTTTTAAGTAATCCGCTGACAAGTTACTAGTTTTCAAATGATCACAGGCTCAAGATTAATTTTTTTAAATCCATATGAAATATGTGTTTAGGTGCCGGATGTTAAAATTGTGATTTCAAACTGTCACTTCGGAC